ACAGATCTCAGGTAATGCCAGGTGTGTCTACTCAGGTATTGCCTAGCAATGGACGCCCTACTGTTGCGTGACGTCACAGCCTATCGGGGAGGTGTGTTTACCCAGCGTCGCGCAGCAACGGGAAGAGTGGGGGTATGTGACGTCACTCGCACTTCCTGTTTCGCCATCCAAGCGTTCATAGAGTTGTCGCCTAGCAACGTGCCGATACAATCCGCAACTCTCACATTGCGTGCGTGCCCCGAGGCCTCTGTGGCTCAACAGTTCCTGCATAGAGCCAGTACTCCACAGTATCTTCCCATCAGGAGATGTCCAAATAAATTTATGGATGTTACGATGCGGGAACATTGTACTTTTGACAGTAAGATTTTTCGATTTGGCAAAGTTTACTCCAATGTCGTTACTAATTTCATGCAAACTCTCGTTCCCAATCTTTGGTTTGAAAATGTCTTCCCTCCCTACTCTTGACATTGAAATCTACTGACAAAATTTTCATAGGGTACTTTGGGAATTTATCAAATACATGTTCTAGTGTTTCGTAGTTTCGGGATGAGGACCAGTTCCGAGTCCTTGGATGGACACTCAGTCGTCTGACAGATTACTAAAAAAAAAAAAATGTTCTAGTGCTTCATAGAACCTGCCCTGTATGTCATAAATTTTATCGTCTGTTGGGGCGTGAACATTCATAATGATATCACAACAGCAACCTTTTAGTAATATATTGTGACGTGGACGACGCAACTGGAAGTAGGGGTCACGTGAACTCAGCGTTTCCGCGAGTGGCGTCACATACCCCCACTCCTACCATCATTACGCAACGCTCGGTAAACACCCCTCACCGCTAGGCTGTGATGTCACGCAACAGGTGAGTCCGTGCTGCGACTACTGCTAGGCAATGCGTAGGTAGAAACACCTGACAACATTATCTGATATCTGTTGCCGAGCAGCAAGGTGTTCTCTATGTTGTCCGTGCCGAGCCTAAATAAGGAGCAGCAAACACTATTTTCCAAGGTCACCCATGTGGCGGCGGGGTCGAATATATACACCGTGACCTTGCGAGTTGTAGGAGGCGACGAAAAGAGAAGTCTCAAATTTGAGACAGTAAAATATGGTCACGAGTACTAAGGGACTCGGACCCGAGAAAGACTGCGCTGACAAGGACAAACAGCATATACAAAAGACAGACCCACCCTCTCATCAGAAAGTGCGCCCTACAGAAACAAGACCGTAACTGTCATACGGTAATAATTAATACCTGGTCATGAGCCCCAGATGGGGCTCGACACCAAGACTTACTGACTGACTGACCGTCAGTCGCAATGTGACTTTGACTTTGACTTTAAGAGTAGTGAGTATTGAGCCAGTTACTAGACCTACTAGACAGTTGAATTGTAGCAGCCGCCGAAGCCAGGTAGTATTCGGGGTATCCAGTATGAATTGAAGTCCAGCAGCTACGAGNATAGCAGCCGCCGAAGCCAGGTAGTATTCGGGGTATCCAGCAGCTACGAGTTGAGTTGTATCAAGTGCATGTAAGTGACTTCAGCAGGAGAAGTAATTGTGATACTGCAGATGGAAGTAGCTGTGAAACTGTAAATTGTGTAACTGTAAGAGTGAGTGGAATAAATTCGCTTGATCCAAGACGGCGTTAAGTTATTTGTCGCGTTACATACCCAACACGTGATATCCTATCACTAACGAACTCTACCCTCTTAACTGCTGATACGATTCTCTTATGTACGGAAAACCTGTACTTAATTCATGATTTTAATTCTCCTTTCCATAAAAAAAATGTATATTCGCCTGCTGGTGCGATGCCACCTCCGTCCCATCTGACCTCCTCCCGCTAATTCTAACTGATATTTTAAGATTTCTTCTGCCACTGCCCTGAGCGAACCTGTCCTATACATACTTCTGATGTTCCAAGTACCGAATCTCATGTCCATTTTCTTTAGCTTAGGTCATTTATCCAGAGGATCCGTCCACGTCCGAGGTTTTGTGTGCGTTTTCGTGACAAGTTATTTTTTACTGCGAGGAGTTGTTAGCCCCACGCCCAACCCCCCGTCTGGAGGACCATCCCCTGTTGGCTGTCCGCGACTGCATATTCAATATATTCGCAGCTTCCCTCCATACCTGGAAGGTGTCTCCTCCATCCAGAACCTATGGACGCTCCATGCCGTGTGACAAGCTGACAAGGGACCCACCTAACATGGTTAACTAGGTTTAAGTAGGTATACAATATTTTAAATACCAATTATTGTATAATGAAGAGGATGAAAGAACTTTTATAATACTGATATGAAAAATGATATGAACTCCGTCCCAAGTGCAAACAATATATTATATGTCCTTGATCTTGCTCTCTTTTACACTACATATTTCGGCCTCAAACGGCCATCATCAGGTGTATACACTCACATTGCTGTTACACTGCACTTAGTTTAAAATTTATCATTTAAAAACACATTGTTCCCTTCGTTGTTATTATCAACATCTACTTCGTTGATATCTGTCTGGTTTATAGATTATTTTTGTTACACACGTTAGCACTTATAAAATCTTCAGTTCTAATTTTAAAATCCTTTAAAATTTTTCTCTAAATTTTAAAATTTAAAATTGTCAGGGTTACTCGCCCTATGTCTATAGTGCTGCAGCGGCTAGTTCTTGTTTCCAGCACTGTACAGGTGTTATCTGTAATATACAAATATTCGTATTATTATCTTATGTACGTAATGTTTTCTTACGTATTTATATTGTTATTTGTACTTACTTTGTGTAGTCTCCCTGGGTGCGTGCCGCTGCTATTCTTTACTACGTGTGCTGTCTGATGTATTGTGTGCTGTGTTTTATGTTGGTGAGTGTAGGGGGGGAATGGGTAGTGGGGAGAGTGAGGTACCGTTAGTCTCTATAGATTTCGTGTATCGTTTGAAATATGGGATTGTGTGTTTCTATGTGTGTATCATTCATGTGTAGGCCTTTCTTACTTATTTTATATATATGGTATTTCTCTAATGTATTCAAATGTTTGCCCTTCTTTCCCGTTGTTACAACTTCCATTACCTCTTTTATTGTTCCGTATGCATGTCCTGTAATTAGTATGTGATTTGAGTACCCGGAATTGCTATCATTAGTTCTAATATCATGTATATGTCCTTTATATCTAGTGTTAAATGTTCTGCCCGTCTGCCCAATGTATTTGAATGGGCAATCCACACATTTCATTTGGTATATGCTACTTTTATTGTATTTATCTAATTGTGGTTTTTGTTTGAGTATATTTTCTATTGTGTTTCGTGTGCGGAATGCTACTTTTATCTGTGTGTCTTTGAAAAGTTTTGTAANCATCAAAGGGACCTAAAAATAGTGTCGTTATAAACGAATGTCGTTGTAACCGAAATGGGCACTTCCACAGTAGCCTTATGTTAGTCACGTAAAATTCTACCAAAAACCGAGTTAAAATGTTGCATTTTTAGTGAAATACGTAGTTAAGTACAGACTAACGTAACATTAACGTGAGATCAATATGGGTTCTCCATATCGTTTGTACTGTAGAATTCACCAAACCAAATTCGCGGCATACATCAGCTTTTTTCCTTCCATTTTCTATTTCACGAATCACTTTAACTTTCTCTTCAATGCTTAAAACTTTCCTTTTCATTGCCATGTTTTCGCTACTGCACTTCTCTGGGTTTAGGCAGGAACACTATAGGGTAAGTAGACAATGTGAGGTCCTGTTAGACGAGATTCTAGGAAAGGAATGCAGTTAACAACCTGCCGCGTCCTCTTGCACTATNTATTAGTACCTGACAATTTGTGCTCGAAAGGATGGCACGAACTGTTAGATATTATGATGTCTGTGTGGGTTTCCTATATATTGCGAATTGCAAACTATCTTCATTGTGATATATTGTTATATCTAGAAAGTTAATTGATTCTTGTTGTTCTCTTTCAATGGTGAACTTTATAGTTGGTTGCAATTCATTAATTTCTTTGAGTGTATGTTCTATGTTTGTTATTTTTTCATCATATGTTATTAATATGTCGTTGACATATCTGAAGTAGGTCACTATTTGTTGTGTTACTAGAATGGGATATATTTGTGTGTGTTCCATATATTGTATATATGTTTCTGCTATTATAGCTGATGTTGGGGCTCCCATAGCTAGTCCATCTGTTTGTTTGTAGTATTCTTCGTCAATTTGGAAATAATTTTGTTCAAATACTGTTTTTATTATTTCTTTGTGGCGTTCTTTATTTATTTCATGGTTTTTTCCTAATATAGTGTTTATTATATTTATGGTGTTAGTTTTCGATATATTTGTATACATGTTTTCAATGTCAAAGGAACATAGTCGCATGTTCTCATTAAGTTTAATAGTTTGTAAATCTATCATTAAGTGGGCGAGTAACCCTGACAACTTTAAATTTTAAATTTTAAAATTTAGAGAAAAATTTTAAAGGATTTTAAAATTAGAACTAAAGATTTTATAAGTGCTAGCGTGTGTAACAAAAATAATCTACAAACCAGACAGATATCAACGAAGTAGATGTTGATTATAACAACGAAGGGAACAATGTGTTTTTAAATGTTAAATTTTAAACTAAGTGCAGTGTAACAGCAACGTGAGTGTATACACCTGATGATGGCCGTTTGAGGCCGAAACATGTAGTGTAAAGGAGAGCAAGATCAAGGACATATAATATATTGTTTGCACTTGGGACGGAGTTCATATCATTTATCGTATAGAGTGCAACAGGATGCTTAAATATAATACTGATATGAAAATAACGCACAAAGAAGCAGCGTTAGGCCCAATTTAGCAGCGGTATTAATAGTAAAAATTATATTTTCGCATAAAGTTGTTACTGAACATTTAGTTTGTTCAATATACGGAGTTATTACAGTTAGTACTCACGACGTTTAAAAACTCTTGGCGCGTAACTTTACGACGTCTACTATAGACACGTAATCGCTTAGTACAGTATTCTTCTATTGAGGGCAGCACTGGTGAACTCGGGTTTGTGTTCGTGTGTGTGAGACAGATTTACTCGAAAAGAGAAGAAAGTTTCGAAATGCGTGCTGCAGGAATTACATTAATTAGTTTAGCATTAACAAGTGCCGTAATTGGAAATGCGTACTATCAAAAGAAGCAGTTCTATCCGTCAGTTGTGTACATAACGAAATCAAATCCAAGTATGGCGGTAGGTAATATGTACCAATCCTGTCATCTCAGTAGGTGCACATTAAGGAAGGATTGAACGATGCAGATGTTACGGTAATGTGTATGTTTTTGTTTATGGATGCCCCGAGTGTGTCTTGTTTAAAAGTACTGGATGGAGCGTAGGCAAAGGAGACTTGAAATAACAGAATTTCACTTGCATCCTACGATGCATAGGGAATCAACATGTGTAGTGTACTTTAATGCTGTAACGTAGCTAATGACCGCAGGGGGACTTGGTTTGGTAATTGGGTTTATTGGACTCATACGAACCATACCTACAATTAGTTATAGCGCTGTCTCGAATTTACGCAATTAATAATTTCCTGTGGCACGCGCTAAGTATTCTCAGTTCGCCTTCACTAGTCGCGCCAAGCAGCATCTCCCAGTAGTATCGGTGTCTGTCAGTGTTTCGGCAGTCAGTTCGACTTGGTGCCAAGGCTCTTGAGTATCACTACGAGAGATTTTTTTTGCAACTGAACCCTTGTGGTAACATCTCTCTAACGAGATCCTAACAGTGTCGGTCAGTCAGTTAAATTGCTGCTGGCCATCATCAGCACAATCATTCCTGGCTTCAGTCTCCTTGAGATCCAAGATTTTTATTCTCCCCTAGACATACACATGTTTCAAAACTGGGAAGGACAGTTCTTTGTTTGTTGCACCATAGTTTCAGCATGAGTGTATACACACTGTTATGGCCTTCAGGTCACTATGGACTCTGTGCATCCTTTGTCACTGCACTATACTAAATAACATTTATACAAGGTATACAGAGGTTTCCTGTCAATGAAGGCTTGTGCAGCAGGTTACACCTTAACTTATGCAAAGTACTCTGTAAGCTAAGTTGGTCAGCTGAACTGTTATAGACCTGACCACCTCCAAGTTTAAGCCTCAGTGTCAAGTCAAAGTCATAGTTAAAGTTATATTATGGCCGACATTCAGTCGGCCAGCCTGTCTTGCAATAAGGCACCCATCTGGGGCATAAGACCAGATCTTTATTACTGTATGGCAGTTGCAGGCTTGTTGAAGTGACATGCTCTCTCTGACAAGAGGTTGGGTCTGTCGTTTAGAATTTCTGCTGGCCATGCCAGCACAGTCATTTTCAGGTCTGAGTCCCATGGAACTCTTGACCATATTTTACTGTCTAAGATTCAAGTCTTCCATTGTTGCTACCTCCTACAACTCACAAGGCTACAGTGGAGGTATTCGACCCTGTCTCAACATGGGAGTAGCCTCAGTGTAACTTATGGTCTCTCCATTTATAGCCTCTGCACGGCCCACATAGAACACAGCCTGAAACCATTACTCTATTATTGCCTTTGTGTATTCCTTGACTCAGAAACGTGTTTACCGGGGCTGTCTCAGTGGTCTCTACTGATGCCCAGTTCTGATTTGCAAATATAACTATATGCTTGCTCTAGAAATATAAGATTCTGCCAGAGTCAGTGATTTTTTTGATGATAGGAACATATGAATGGATTAGTAATGTCTGAAGTTTTCACTTTTGCTACATTTTGGTAGATTTAATGCATGTTCTAGCTTGACCATTTCCATATTCTCAACCGCATAATCCTGTTATCCTAATACTAACATTTTGTAATGCACTGAGCAATGCATTTTGACAAAGTCCTAATGATAGGATGTCAATAATCCCCTGAACTTCACTCAGTGGCTGCAGCTTTTTGCAGTAATATTTTGGCCATTTTTTGGTTGAAGTTTGTGAATGTCAAGTGTTACTATTTGTTGTATCATTTTGGACACGTGTTTCATAATTTTGGACCAGTTTTATTTAGTAATATATGAGATCAGAGTATGGTTAACATTTGAAAAGACCACCCATATTTGTATGTCTTTACAACTGGATTAATTATATGCAGGGTGTTTTGGGAGGAGTCTACCAATCTTCGTGGGTACACTAAACAAGTGGATGAGTTAAAAATGTCCTCTTAACATGTGTCTAATTTAAAAGGTTTAAGGAGACATGGCAGTTTGAAAGTAAGATTAAGAGTTATTATAAATAGTATGTCTATTGAAAATTTAATGTTTTCTGCAGTGTAAAACTAAAATAAGTGTTATAAGTGTTATCTTACAAAAGACTGTTCAGATTGTCTGACTGTAACTTGAATCCACATTTTGGAGTATGATATGCCATTCATTGATGTGGCTGGCAGCCTTGTACTCAGATGTGCATTGAAGTGGCAGTTAGTCACTTTGAACAGTTTTTGTAACATGCTTCCTTCATAAAGACATATTTCAGTTTTATATTAATGATACTGTGAAACTTCATTAAGTGCCTTTATTTTTGGTATGTCTTAATATTACTTTCAAAATGCCACAACTCCATGAAGTTTCCAAATTTGACTTCTGAATAGGCATTTATTTTTATAGTAAAAAATTACTTAATGTGCCCATGAAGTTTGGTAGACTCCTCCTGAATCATCCTGTATATATTATAGCATGTAGACCCATTACTGGGTAACGACCTAGAAACAAAGAATGAAACAACATCTGCTGCAAGGGAACATTCTTTATAAGCAAGTATATGCAGCCATTATTGAGTGATGCCTTTACAGACAAACACATTCCCACGAAGTGATTGGAATACAGTACATTGTGTTTCTACACGGTCCATGCTGAGATGTTATCACCAGGACGGGTTTACACTTCACGCTTTACACTTTACATCCTCACAGGCCTACCTGTATTCCACTGTAATCCTGTCACTGTCACTTCTAGTCCAATGTCTTCTCGTGATTCCGCCGCAAGACACCTGTTGTGCCCACGCTGTGTGCAACGCCTCTGTCATGTAATTGCTGTGTTTACAGAGGCGTTGCCTAGCAATGCACCTGTTATGTAATTGCCGTGTTTACAGTGGCGTTGCCTAGCAACGTGCCTGTTACATAAATGTTTACAGAGGGGTTGCTAGGCAACGCTGCCGAGAGGTGTTTACCGAAATCCTGCGCTTGTACAAATGAGCACAACATGGCTCGGCTTGGCCCGGCATGGAGAAAACACTGCTTTCGTTGCGTAATCATCATGTTTGCAGATTTCTGTGGTTCAAAGATTTCAGCATGGCATAAATATGCCACAATATATATACGCATGAGTAACATTAAAATAAGTATTTTTTCCTTGCACTTGGACATATTTCCATATTTCTTCCAACAGATACAGTTTTGGTACTAGGTAGTGTTGATCGAGTTGTATCTAATTTAATTTATATTACACAAGCTGTACCTGGCCACACGTTGCTGTGGCAGATCGAGTGAATTAAAAAATTCTGTTAGATAATTAACCGCTTCATCTGCTTCCACAACAGTGTCGACGGACTTGTATGCGACTGCCTCACAGTGAATGTTAGACTGAATGATATTAAGTTCATAGACGTCTTTGTTCTTGGCTGCAAGAATAGCTCGTTCACTCAGCCAATCGTGATTCTTATAATTGGTTTGAATATTGGGAAGTACTTTTTCAACCAATGCTTCTTTTGACGTCACTAAATTGCAGAAGTTATGAGGCAACGAAATTCGTCCTGAGATCAGATCAACCGGCACCTTTCCATTCCCAATTTCCAGCAATTGATGTGAGAATATCTCAGCTGATCGATCGTTTTGCAGCTGGACACACATGTTTGTAGTTAATTTTAACGTCTTTACGTGTCGCCACAAAGTAGAGTATTTCAGGCAAGCATTTATTTTGTCCGCTGGTGTCGATCGAGGAATTACAGGTAATGTTGCCTGAAATTTCCTGCAAGCAATATTAATGCGTTCCCAAATGGTCTGATGTTTCCACGCAAATCTTGCAATGATCGACGAAGAGCCTCGAGCAATTTTTTTTTACACCATTGTGCATTCATCCCAAACAATAAGTTTGCATTTCTGCAATACCCTTCCCATGCCTGGTCCTTTGGAAATGTTGCACATGGGAGTTTTAATGAATTGCATGTTCAGTGGCAATTTCAAAGCAGAATGAGCAGTTCTTCCACCTGGTAGCAATGTCGCAGCTATTCCAGACGACGCAAGAGCTAAGGCTATGTCATTTTTGGATCGAATTGCTGCCAGAATCAATCTAATTAGGAACGTTTTACCAGTTCCTCCTGGTGCATCTAAGAAGAAGATTTCTGCAACCCTGTTATTGACAGTTTGCATGATTTGATTATATGCCTTTTTGCTCAAGCGTTAGCTTAGGAATATTTGATTGCACATACGACAAAAGATCACCCGTGTTGTAATTTTGTTCACAATGCAATTCTACATTGAACGAAACAGCAGCAGATCGATTCGGTGATGGCATTCCCAATTGATTGAGAACTTTGTTCGCGATTTCTAAGCACAAATCCACAATCATTATCAACGCTTCCTTGCAGATTTCTGCTGTGAAATCCATGTTCATATTGGAATTTTCCTTGCGTATTCAACGGAAAATATCTTCAGCCATGTGCTACTTTGTTGATTCTGTGAGTCCTACGCAATGACCCATTGTTATTGCGTTGTCTCTGTGGGAACGCTCCGTGTATTCGTCGTAACCATGGAGATTCGATACAGTATCGCTATTGTTACTTCCTATGCAACAGTCTGTTCTAGCGTTTCCATAGGGGTGACTCTTCTGAATTCCAAATTCCAATTCTGTTTTTCAAAAGATTCATGTTTTTACCTGTCACGGGTGTGACATCTATAGAATGGGTATATAAAACCGCATGCATTCGAATGCAATGTTGTGTCAAAATTTCGAAGCAATTGGTGAAGAACTTTCGGAGATTTTTGAGGGGTAACAAACGAACATTTAAATTTTTATTTATATAGATTTGTGTTGGATATAATGAACATAACCTCCTCATAGGGCGCATTTTGCTGGAATATTTGGATTCTTTTTACACAAGGTTGTGTTGTGTTCACCTCCACATTTAACACAAGTATGCAGTCTTGCGCAATATGTTCTTGTATGCTCGGAGCACTGACATCTTGTGCCCTGTACAATGTTGTTTTTCTTTCTTGGGGCTTCCTTTGTTTCATCTGTGGTTACTGAGAGATGTAGATTTTGCATTACTACCCTATAGGCCCTTTCTTCTTTGATCTGGTGTGTATGATGTACTATTTTTTCCTGTTGGAGCTGTCTGATTAATATCCGGTAGGATTCTGATGTGGTCACAGTGATTTGTATCATTTCATTTGAGAGTGCTTTGCAGTAATACTGTGGATGTTAGTTTGTTACCTGTATATATTGTGACATATTTGCTCTATGCAGGAACTGTTGAGCCACAGAGGCCTCGGGGCATGCGCGCAACGTGAGAGTTGCTGATTGAATCGGTGCATTCCTAGGCGACAACTCTGTGAATGCTTGGATTGTGCAACAGGAAGCACGAGTGACGTCACATACCCCACCCATCCCGTAACTGTGCAGTGCTCGGTAAACACCCCTCCCCGCTAGGCTGTGACGTCACGCAACAAGGGAGTCCGTGCAGCGACTGTTGCTAGGCAGTGGGTAAACATGGCGATTACCCAACAGGGAGGCGAGGTGTGTTTTCCGCTGGCCGACTGAGGGTTTATAAGAGAAACTGGAATGCCTAAGGAGTTCCGTTGAAGTCTAGCAGTTGTCGAGTTCAGTTGTAGTGAGAGAATTGTGAACGTAAAGAAGACATTGTAAGTTGAAGTATAGCAGCCATGGAAGAAGAAGAACTGAACGCATGATTAGAAGAGTTTATGTGTGATAATCAGTGATAGTTTCTGATAACTGAGAAGGTATTGTAATTCAGTGACACTTGTATAGCTCCTGCGTTATAAATACATGAAGACTACTGAAGATAGAGTGAAGAGATTAGTGAGTAGGGTTTGTAAAGTGTGTAAACCCGCAAGAGTGTTATAAGTAATTGTAGTTACAACTTGTAGGTTAAATAAACCAATTAACAATCTGAACGGTGTCTTCAGCATACAGCAACACTTTACAATATATTAGTGGGGGTTTAGATTCTGGTGGTTATTTATTTTTAGTGTTTGTTGCTGTTTCATTTGTCTCGTTTGTTTGCATATCCTCATCCGAGAGCTGTGAGATCTCTCCATATCTGTTTTGGGTATTAAAGAGAAAGGGATTTCCATCCGTTGTTGTTTCTGGGTTTTGGTTAGATCTTTTCCATTTCTTTACCTGTTGCCAAGTGTAGGTTGTTCTTATTTCTGGCTCATCTTGGGTGTTATTTTTGTTTTTGCATGTTGATGGGGTTCTGTTAAGTATTGTTTGTTCCAAAGGCATCATATTATATTGTAGCTGATTTGTTGAAATTGGTCTGGTGGTATTGGGCCTGTGAATTGCTGTTCCATTACCTGTTGCTGTGGGTGTACATTATGACCCAGTCCCGGTGCTGTCCACATGCCGGCTGCCTCACAGAAGGGTAGTTTATCAGTTGGCTTTTTCTGCAGTTTCAGTAGAAAACAAAATTAATTATTATATTCTAACACAACACTAAGTCTTCTCATCAGCTTTTATTATTTGTTGCTAGATTATCGCTCTCAACAGTGGTTACACCTGTACAGTGTTTTCTCTAGTGGTATCCTGGTTATAAATCAGTAGCTTATGTATTCACGTCTTCACTCTTCGAGCTCCAGATAACATAAACATAAATGGAAGACAAATTTTGCAGTCGCTTTGGTTGGAGATATGTCTAATGGGTATGAGATTGCTTATGTATCTGGATGAAATAATTTTCTTACTGTATGGAACTCCTTTTATCATGAATTTTCACAATGTATTAAATCCTGCTTCTGTAACAGTGTTCAGTGTTCAGTTAATATATGTTGTTCTTTCTTTTTGTTGGATTGCAAGGAAATCATAATTGTTGGAATTAAGTGGGGCATATCAGCTTCGGAATTATGCAGAAGATGCTAATTTATTAGGGAAAAACATAAATATCATAAAGAAAATTACAGAAACTTGGTGTAGACATGGTGTAGGGAGAACTTTATTCTGTCTTCACATCTCATCACAAGAATATAGGGTAAAATCATAATATGAAGACAAAAGATCCTTAAAAAATATGCCAAATTTCAAATATTTGGGAGTGACAGTAACAATTCAAGACTCTGTAAGGAAAAAAAATAAGAGCAAATTAAATTTGGGGAATATTTGCTACCAAAGATTAAAATATACAATACTGTAATTTTGCCTGCCGTTCAGTATAGGTATGAAACTTGATCTCACCCTAAAGAAAGAACACATGTAGAGGGGTTTTGAGAATATGACACTGAAGAGAATATGTAAATAGTAGAAAGCTGGAGAACATGAAGAGCTTCATATATACATTTTGCAGAATACTGGGATTATCAAGTGAAGGAGAGCGAGATGGGTAGGCATGTAGTATCCATGGAAGAGATGAGAAATACACACAAAATTGTATTCAAAAGACCTGAAAGGAAGATACCACTTGGAAGAATTAGGCACAGATGTGAGAATAATATTAAAATGGATATAGACTAAAGTGTGAGGCAGGGGATGCATGACTCAGGGTAGTGGCTTATGGCACCCCTTGTGAACATGGTAATGAGCCTTTGGGCTACACAAAAGGTTGGGAATGTCTTAGCTCAACTGATTTATGGTTTTTATGATCACAAGAAATACTGGGTATCCTTGACTGGACTCAGACAAGCAAAGGGACTCATATGAGGACCCTCTACCAAAAGAGCGAAGGAACTGTTGAAGTTAAACTGGAACCAGCTACGATGGGTGGTAGGAATACTTACAGGACAGTGTCACCTCAAAGGACACCTCTTCAAACTGGGACTAAGTAATAGTCTAACTTGTGAGAGGTGTCAAGAAGAAAATTAAACAGCCACACATATCCTGTGCGAATGTGAGGCCTTAGCTTTTCTAAGATTGCGAAACTTGGGTCAATATTTTATGGAACCAAGTGACTATTTCGACGTCCCCACGTACAAAATCCTACGCTTCATTCAAAAGCTCAGGAATCCTGAAGGGATAATCAGAAGGGGAGGCACAATAGATCACTGTGGTCGCGCTGCAAGGGCCAAGAAGGCCCACCCCTTATACATTCATTCATTCATTCATTCGTGGTTTTTATGTGTGTATGCATGTATATCTGTATGTGTGTGTATTGTCATATATTTTTGTTTTACAGGTAATATATGTCCAGGCATTCATCTTGGTAATCTTGATGGGAAAACTAATGCGCAAAGTATTTTTTGGACAGCTGAGAGCAGCAGAATTTGAGGTATTGTCATAATCGTCATTACAAACCGAAATTAATACAAGGAAATTGATAGTTATTCATTAATCGTTTAGAGTACACTAGAGTTGCAACTTGCATTGCCATAGAAAAATTGAATGTCCCTTGCTCTGATGATGATAATAGGATGAGGGGCACAGAGGATATTTGAATAAGCTGTTGTTTTTATCATCACCATGCAGTGAATTTAAGTAATGTGGTAAAATGTTAAAGTCTGCAAATTTTGAGGGAAGATATGGTTGACAAGCAGGTTTATGGATCCTCATGAAGAGAATAGAATAGAATATAGCAGAATTTATTTACATTCTGTAGATCCTGCATAGGTCTACACCACGAATGTAGAACATGTCATAATACAAATACATACTTGTAGCCAATGAAAATATAAATATAAGTACAAAGTTGTAACAACTACATATTTACATATATAACACAGAATTATATCAAAGAACCATCTTTATTTCTTGTGTGTGTGTGTGTGTGTGTGTATATATATATAATTTTATCCAATATCTGTCTTTCAAGATTAAGTGCATACGTGGTGCAATCCAAAAGTTCCCGAAATTTGAGTTTTGTGCGCGAATGGTTATGAGTACATTGAAATACTGCTAGATGTGTCCCTACACACCCTTCTTGTATCAGTATGGCAAGCGGTGTCGAGTTGAGTGGTTGGGTTTATTGTTGGTGAATGTATTTCCATTGTTGTGCTTCCATGAGTTTGCGGTTTTGCAATGGCTGACCTGAGAGAGCAGCGTGTCTGTATAAACTTTTGTTTTAAACTTGGGAGAACCACTATAGAAATGCACCAAATGCTGAAGTGAGCTTTTGGTGACAGCAGTTCAGGCCAGACACAAACTTATGACTGGTATAAGCGTTTCAAAAATGGCTGCACATCGACTAACGATGATTGTTTGGGACAGTCATCAACTGGCACCACACCAGAAAATGTCTTGAAAATTAGGGATCTGATTGTGCAAGATTGTAGACTGACCATCCAAGACCTCTGTAACATCTTGGGACTAAGTTATGGTACATGTTAATGAATTTTGTCAGAGGAACTGAACATGAGGAGGATAGCAGTGAGCTTTGTGCCATGACTGCTGCAAAATGAGCAGAAGCAGCATCGGTTGTAAGTTTGCAGGGAACTTCAACAACAGCTTCAAGAGGATCAAAAATTTCTTTCGAGGGTTGTGTCACTGGTGACGAAAGTTGGGTTTATGGCCACGACACTGAAAATAAGCAGCAATCGCCGCAATGGAAGAGCCCTTCTTCACCTCGGCCAAAAAAAGCTCGACAAGCCAAGAGCAACATTAAGTCCATGTTGATCTGTTTTTTTGATATTGATGGGATTGTTCATAAGGAGTTCGTCCCTCCTGGTCAGACAGTCAATAAAGAGTTCTATCGCGATGTTCTAAGGCGTTTGAGGAAGGACATGAGGAGAAAACGTCCATAGAAGTGGCACACGAACAACTGGGTACTCCACCATGACAACGCACAACCACATACAGCTTACATTATGCAGGAATTTTTGTCTAAAACAAGATGGCAGTTGTTCCCCACCCACTGTACTCGCCAGACTTAGCTGCATGCGACTTCTTTCTCTTCCCCGAGATGAAAATCAAATTGAAGGAGTGAAGATTTGATACAGTTGAGAAAATTGAAGCGGAAACACAGACGGCACTAAACACCCTAACAAAGAAAGACTTCCAGGATGCATTTGAAAAGTGGCAGAAATGCTGGGATCGGTGTATGCGCTCCCAAGGGCACTACTTTGAAGGTGATGGTGCAGAATAAGATCCAGGTAAGGTGTAATAGTTTTTGTTAATATATTTTGGGAACTTTTGGATTGCACCACCTATATAGATGAAATTATTGGGTATCATCAGCGTGGGTTTTGATGTAACAGATCAACTATTGAACTATCAGGCTTATTTTGGACTTTGTCCATTGTCTGGTATATATAAGACAAAAAGCCACAACGTTTTGGAGACTGAATCTGTCTCCGTCCTCAGGTGGTTGAGGCAGGATAGACCTGCTGAGTTGGTCCCATTAGAAAGAGCTAATCTCAATCACGTTGTGGTTTTTTGTCTTATATATACTAGATGATCGATGAAGTCCAAATTAAGCCTTATAGTTCTGTACAGCATATGCCATCGTCAAAATCCTTTCAGATCAACTGCTGTTCAGATCTCTTGCATAAGTCAGATACTTCATAAAGAAATGGGAGTACAGTGAGACAGTACATCAGTTATTTGTAGAGACTAACTTGTTCGGTGACATGCAGAATAACGAGTTTAAGCTCCACAAGACAGTAGTGAGGTCAAGCCCACACAGCCTAACTTGTGTGAGAATATCCCGATATGCCGGTGCCCCACATTATAGTCACTTCTGCCACCAGAAAATCATGTCAACATGTAGCAGTCAGAAAGTTTTAGAGAGATTTATTGCAAAATACTTCATTTCCATTTTAGTACAATTTTAATTTTTATGTTTTAACCTTTAGTCTCTTAATTTTTTAATTTGTATTATCTGAGTATTTAAAATTTTAACTGAAAGACTCAATTGATGCATTTAAGAACAATCAAGTGCACAATAAGGATGCCTGATGATGACCCAGTAGAAGGGTTGAAACAGGTAGCATCAATAAAAACCAATGTCTATGCGATAGTGTCTACTTTGTTTTAAATACAAAATATTGTTGTGTATACTGCATACTTTTGTATACATTTTATGTATCTCTGAACTGTTTTGTATAATTCTGTTAATAATGAAGTTGGACTGATATGCAAAATTTTTCAAAGTGAAGCTGAAACAGAATTAAAATAACAGTAGTTGGGAAGGTGACAGGTATTCTGGGTGAAGTACAACCTAAATAAAACCATTTGTTTTGTTATATCATGCAGGTGTTTTCTTCTATTGCAGCACCTCATGGAGCGATCATGGTATGCAGTCACAGAGACATGCCTGGCCTTCACTGTTTTTCGAGATGATTTCAGTCCAAAATTTGTTGCACTTTTCACTGTTCTTCTATTCTTGAAGTCTTTCCACTGGCTGGCAGAGGACAGAGTAGATTTTGTAAGTACACTCCCATAGTTTTTGTAAGAGAATATATTCCTTATGGCCCTGTTTTAAATAGTACAGGGTGTTCAACCATCGAGGAAACCTGGCAGCAGTGCTGAGCGGGAACAACATTCCTCACAGATTGCTGATGTAACTGCCAATAACAGAACAAGGCATTAGCACTTATAAATGCGCGCCGTCAGGTGGCATGATCTTGTCACTGTAGTAAGTCACATTAATAGTCAGTCTGTGTTAGAAGTATCGATACACAGTTATTTATACTGACATGAAGTTCACTATTGAACAGAGTGTTTATTGTCAAAACTTTTGCAAGGATAAAAACTACAGAAAATGTATCTGTAGTTAGTTAGTTATTATAGAGGGTGGGTTTCCCCATGCACTTAGACCTGTAGTGGTCCATTGTGCTTCCCTCTTTATGATTTCTACCAGCCTCTATATCCTACTGGTATTGGTGCTTACCATCAGTCCCACCCAGCCAGCGAGACCGGCTCTCTACTGGCTGAGAAGTATCTATAATGCTTCCCCCATCTACCGGAGGTATTAATGACTGCTGTTGGGCGGCAAACATCCAAAATTTTGCTCAGTGACCTACTTTGGAGATATGAGGTTCTTTTACATGCCGTAAAGCTATGACATGGGACCCACGGCTTAAAAGTCCCTCCCGGAGTACTTGTTCCCTGAATTTTTCCGCCCTTAAAAATTCGACGACCTCCGCTGGGTATTTGAACCCGCGTACTACGAGTCATGAGGTGGGAACGTTACCTCTAGACTACGGAGGCCGCTAAATGTATCTGTAAGTTTCATTATAAATATCCTGGCTCGCCAGTTCCCATGAAGTTGTGTGTATCCACGCTTGTGAAAAAAGTGGCATGTTATGTCATTATGCAGAGCTTTAGTGCCGTGAGGATTATTTTTGTAGACTTCTCCCTTCAGGTTTCCTGAAAAATAAAAATTGTAAAAACTTGAATCTGGGAGGCCACAGTTCTCTTCTGATTATTCTATCTTCAAACACTTCCCGTATTGCGACCATGGTTTCATTAGCCGTATGTTCTGTAGTGTTGTCTTGCTGAAAATACCCATATTGTCTTCAGGAGTCAGCTGATTGAAGAATGGATTCAGTACATTATTAACTTAGTGGCCAGAATTCACAGTTTCAGGGAAAAATAAAGGGCCAGTGATTGTCCGCGGACTTGCAGCACACCACACACCCACATTTTCACTATGTAATTGCACTTTCTGTATAGCGTGAGGATTTTCATTGCTCCATATTCTTACATTTTGTGCATTGTCATGATCACTAATGTGAAACCACACTTCATCAGTCATGAATATAAACTGTGTATCCAGGATTCCATCATGCACATTTTGCAGCAGCCATTTGCAAAAATGAATTGTTGCTGCATAATCTGGTTGTTTTAGCTCATGCACAATTGTTATTTTATACGGGTGAAATCTGATTAATTTTGAGGCCATGAAAGCACATCCTAGCGAAACACCAGTTTCCTATGCTAAGCGTCTTAATGATTTTCGAGGACTGATCTGTAGTTGTGCCTCAATATCCTGAACTTTTTCATCGGTCAGCACAATCCTCTTCGATTGCTTCTTTATGTCACACACTGAACCTGTGGCCCGCCACTTTTTCACAAGCTTGGATACACATGACTTTGTGGGAACTGGCGAGCCAGGATATTTACAACGAAACTTATGGATACATTTTCTGCAACTTTTTTCCTTGCAAAAGTTTCGACAGTGAACACGCTGTTCAATAGTGAACTTCATTTCAGTATAAATGTTGACTGCCTACAGACACCTCTAATAAAGACTGGCTGTTAATGCGACTTACTGCAGTGACAAAATCAGGCCACCTGAATTAAGTTTCATGGTCTTAATGTTTCAAAACAAATTATTTTATTATGTTCATATTTAGTTGGTTATACATTTCACATTGGCACTACAGTTTTTTTGTAATACAGGAAGTGCAGCCACATTGAGGCTAAGTTTCTTAGTCAGCTAGCTGGCATCCAATATAGTAGCTCTTAACAGATAACACTTCTATTTCCCAGTATACTCTTGGTTATGGAGCCTCAGATATGTGATAGCGTGAGGCTGTCACATAGATGTAGTTAGAACTGATGTGGAGACGGTAGGACAGTTCCATGTTGAGATATTCTTATTGTAACCATCCTATCAGATATATGTTTAGCTGAGCTTGAGACTGGGTCCTCTCCAGTGGAAACAGCAAACAAAAATGAGGCAGCAGATGCAGTGCTACCCTTTTGCTGTCACTGTTGGAACTGGGGTAGTAAATTTATTTTGCTGGATGTGATGTATTGAGTCTAATGAACATGACGGAATTCAGAATGTTTGGTATCTCTTAATTCAGAAACTTACATACATGCATTCACTGTATGACTGTGACTTATAATTTTACTAAAGTTATTTACATGTGGTTTTATTATAATGTATTGTAGTAAGAGTTATATTAATAAATTTACTTAGTAGAATACTTTCATGTTGTTGCAGATAATTTCTCACAAGGACCAGCTTTCTTTGCTGGCTTTTAAAAGTGTATTATATAAAAATAAAACTAAGATTGATGACAGTGGTTACTATGAAGAATGCTGTCTTCTGGGATGTGACACCTTGTAGATCTTGTGTGAACTGATGTTTCAGAGGTACGTATTGTCTCAATCTTCAGGACAGAAAAATCTGCAAGCAAGGAACCAGCATGAGCAGGTGACTGTAACCACCCTGAAGATGGAGATGGAAATGTTCCTCCCAAACGTCGGTTCACACAAGATCTACACAGCGCTACATTCCAGAAGACAGCATTCTTTAAGATTGATGATTCACTCTGAGCCCTGATAACAAGGCTTTGCCTAGAGAAAGCTGCAATTACCTGCAAGGTTAGCTAGGGTCACAGAGACTCTTGTTGGACAGGTCTGAGTCTTGTGGATCCGGCATCAGTGATGCTTTAGATGCTTTAGGTTTAAAGAAGTCAGGTCATTCACCCAGGAGCAGAGATTTGTGGACTAGTTTAAGCAATTTACAAGTGAATTTGAAGAACCCCATTTCTACAGATCTGGTAGTTGCAATTTTACAAAATGACCCAAGTTTATGCTTGTGATATCAGTGGCATATCAAGGCACCATGTTAACTGATCCATGTTAACTGTTAACTTATGGTAGCAAATATTAGTGATGAACCATTGTTATACCATGGGTAAAGTGGCTGGGGTGTGAAGTTGGCCACTCACCTGCATCTAGGGCTGACTTCAAGATTGGTGGAGCTATACCTCCACTCCCCCATCTCCATATCATGGTGCTTAATTAATTAAGGACAGGAAAAATTGCCCTTTTTATGTTTAACATTGTTGTTATCTAAATCATCTGTTTGCAAGAATTGCTAGACAAATTTTGGAACAGTTAATGGCCACTGTTGCAGAAAGCAGTAATGATCATACAAACAACGCTGAATGAACACTGAATGTTGTCAGGCAGAGTGATCATTTGATTGAAAATTCACTGATATGTTCAGGAAAAATTGCCACATGTAGCAGATAAAGAGTGAGCACATATGGGGATGCACAACGGCCCTGATTTCTGCCAGTTTCTGTTGGAATGAAGGAAGACAGTGCCCAGGCGTTCTCAGACTTTACCCGTTATCCATCTGTAATTCACCCCACAGCCAGTTTCTTCTTCTTACTAACATCAGTGCTGTACATTTTGTTCTGAACTGTGTAGAAGCTAATAGAATNCTAACTTGACAGACCACAGTCATGCATTGAGAAGCTGATATTTGCTCAGCTGTTCAGAAAATTCCCAAAAGGAGATAACATGCCAGAACTTACAGTGTGTACATTTCCTAACCTATATTAAATCTTCTATTTTCAGATGGAAAGAAGTCCTGTCATATCATGGTTGTTTCATATACGAGTTCTATGTAAGTTATTTGCAGATAATATTCAATCAGCTTGTTTTGTTAACTTGACCTTGGGACTGATTTTTTTTATAGGTTGTAAATACTTAAGTGCATAGTATATGGCACATTTTGTTCATCTGCTACTGGATAGGCTATTTGTCCCTTAGACATAGAATACACAGAACAGCAAATTTCTACCATATCACTAAATGTTCATATGACCTGTGTAAGTATAAATATTTTGCTTTTGTTGCAGTGTCTGTTATATACAAGATGAAGCCATTAAAAATAATTGGCAGGGGAAAGAGGAAAATATGAATCGGGTTGAGGCAGGAGACTGACTGTAACACACAACTGAAATTTTGGAAGATAATTTCATTTTCTCCAAATGCTGTAATTTCTGTTTTAATATATCCATTAAGTGAAGGCACTGAAAGAGGTCTCAGATTATCGCTGAGAATAGATTTCAGCCACATTAAGAATGCTGAAGTAAGGTTAAATACTTATAACTTCACAGAAAACTTAATGAAGAACCAATTGATGTTATTCTTGCAGAACAAAATAACCCAGTGCTTATTGTTACTCTCTTTTCAGGAAATGTTTGCTCTGCATTTCCATATTTTCCATTTCATACATGAAATTAGTGGTTTCATGATTAATGTGTCTTAGAATGCCTGTCATGTACAAGTTTAAGGTACATTTGCTTGAACTAAATGTGAAAAGCCTGTGGATGAGTATGAATTTTTTTCTAGCCTTGCTCACCATGCTTGGTGCTCTCGACTTGAGTTTCGTGGGCCATGCTTACCAATCCACAATTACCAAGGGGGCATCAGTACAACTAGTATTTGGATTTGAATATGCCATCCTCCTTACTATCACCATCAACATTGCTATCAAATATGCACTCCACACCATTGATCTGAACAGCGAGAATCCGTGGGACAACAAGGCTGTCTTTCTCTTGTACACTGAGTTGGTCATGGGTGAGTCATATAAATGTCATGTAACATAAACAGTATATATATATATATATAGCTATAGACATATGGATTAATTTAGTTCTCTAATGCCTGTAATACTATTGCCTGGTTTCTGACAGGATTAATAAACCATAATTTAGTTATACTACAAATGATGTATATGTTCCCCCCCCCTCATACTCTTGTACATCACCATGTGGCCTGAAGATTCTGAATGTTATGTAATGAAAGTCTGCCACAACAAGAATTCATGACAGCACAGAAAATTAATATATTTCACTGGTATTGTGGGAGTACTGAAAGTCCAAATTAACTTGGACATGCGCTTTTTGACTTGTGATGAAAATTTATAACGACACTTAACATTATTGTGATATTACAAGGTATAAGAGCTGTTAATTTTAATTTCTTTAAGGCCCACATATTTATGTACCTAAATCCATTTTGGTGTATCTTATTTAGTATTTGCCTTAGAGAAGATTGTTTTTGATAAGAGTTAACAGGGATCGGTGACATGGGCATATTTGATTATTGCTCAGTGTGCAGACCTGTAATTGGGATTTATTGCATGTTTCTTTATTAACTTCTTGATGTGTCATTTAAATTACTGTATCTGGATGCTGTCAACCCATTTGATCTGAAATTCCTTATTGGATGGAAGTTAAAATATTTGGGGATGACAGTAAAAAATTAAAATTTGATTCATGAGGGAGGTAAGAGTAGATTAAATTTGGGTAATGCTTGTTACCATTCAGTTCCAACCTTTTTTGTTTTCTTGAGTGCTTTCTAAGAACTTAAAAATTAAATATAAACTGTTGTTTTGTATGGCTGTGAAACTTGGTGATCTCTAACATTAAAGGATGAACATAGATTGAGGGTGTTTGAGAACAGGGTGCTGAAGGGAATATTTATACCCAAGAGGAATGAAATAGTAGGAGGCTGGAGGGAGTCACATGATGAGGAGTGTCATTACCAAATGTAATATTAATGGTCAAGTCGAGGAGAATGAAATGTGTATGGTGAGTAGCATGTATGAGAGAGAAAGAGAAGAGGAATGCATGTAAGGTTTTGGTAAGAAGTCCAGAAGGAAGGATACCATTAGGAAGACCTAGATGTAGATGGGAGGTAATGTTAAAATGGACCTTGGAGAAATAGGATGGGGTGGGGGGGGGGATGGACTGAATTCATCATACTCACAGTTGGTACTAAAGGCAGTCCCTTGCAAACATGGTAATGAACCCTTGGCTTCCATAAAGAGATGGGAAATTCTTAAGTAGCTGATCAGAGAAGGACTTCTCTCCAATGAGTTAGTATGTTCTAATGTTTTAGGCATGGTGGTCAGCATTTACTGCAGTCTAAATATGGCAAATGGTTATTGTATGTTATCTTGAGCTATTCTTAGTGGGTTGAAACTGAGTCCAATTGGTACTGCGGCCACTTCTGGCCTATTTTACCACCCCAGATGATAGATGATGGTGATTGTGGAGCAATTGGTGGAATGAAGATTGGCAGAGGAAACTAAAGTACTCGAAGAAAACCTACCTCAGCACCACTTTGTGCACCACAAATCCTATGTGACCAGACCCAGGTTTGCACGCGGGCCGCTGTGGTTGGAAGCGGGTGACTAACAACCTGAGCTGTGGCATGGCCTATCTTGGGCTATAGTTAGTCATGATCTTTTTGCAGGTTTCTTCAAAGTCTTCTTATACATCGCCTTTGTTGCCATCATGGTGCGAATTTACACATTGCCGCTATTTGCGTTTAGACCAATGTACTATACAATGAGGTAAGCATTTTTGAAAAAAATCTAGTATTGTATTTTAAAATGTTGTGGAAAGTGATCTGTTGACTAGAATTGTATAGACTAAATGTGTATGTGAAGGTTGAATCAAAAATGAATGGTTCCTCAGGTATGAAGCAGCTTAGGCACTTCTTTTTTGTGTGTATTGCTTTAGAAAGGGTTTGTGGTGTATGGCATGGAAAATATCTAAGTACAGGGATATTTCCAATGCAGTTTAGAATCTGGTTAATCCAACTCCTGTTTTAGATANTGCATATGATGAATGTAGTTTTTCAGCATCTTTGTTTCCATAGAAATTGAGAACAGAGTATTAGAAGGGAAAATATCTAAGTACAGGGATATTTCCAATGCAGTTTAGAATCTGGTTAATCCAACTCCTGTTTTAGATAAGGTTTACCATATTTTGCAAAATTTGCGGCAACCTCATCAGTTATTTTGTGTCCCTCTTCTGTTATCTTACCATTAACTTTCTTAGAATGCATATAAATTGTGTTTGTTATATGGAGACCGCAGTAAATTTTCATTGTTTATATATGTAGATTTATAATCCTTGTTGGAACATCTGGTTTTGTAGTACTGACTTCCAAGAACACATAGGGCTGATCAGTTCGAAGAAAATCATGTGAGGTTTGAAATTCTCATGGTGGTGACTGTGAAGGTTACTGTCTTCTGGGTTGTGGCAGCATTTAGCCTTGAAGAATATTACAAACATTTTGAAGGAAACTACTGCCTCCTCTATCCTGAAGTTGGAAGTAGCAGGTTTTTACAATAATGTGAACAGTATACCGCACTACACAGCATTACATTGGTATATAAAAAAACAGTAATCATAAAGAACAGCATTTTTATTGCCTGTGTTTTATATCTAATGTTTGCTTACATCAAAACAAAGCAGCCTCCCTAGTCTAGGGGTAACATTCCCACCTCATGACTCAAGGTGTGCGGGTTCAAACCCAGCGGAGGTCATGGAATTTTTAAGGGTGGAAAAATTCAAGGAACAAGTCGTCCGGGAGGGACTTTAAGCCGTGGGTCCCGTGTCGTAGATTTATGGCACGTAAAAAATCCTCATGTCTCTAGGAGACCTCTGAGCTAAATTAGGTAAAAAGTTTCCTGCCCAAGTAGTTTCAAATGCCTCCGGTAGATGGGGAAGCATAACATATAGTGAGTGAGAAGAGGTGATAGATGAATGTATGCACTAGAAGACGGATAAAATAAATCATGAATAATAAATACATCAAAACAAAACTTCTTGACTGAATGTAGGCATATCATACCTAGATGTCTGTGTTTAAAGCTTTTATTACAGAAAATTTTGAGTTTATATTATAGAGAGGGTGGGGGTTGTGGTGTATGCATACATTTTTTCTTTTTTCCTTAAAAGTTGTTCATTTAATTCTTCTGTCTGCCATCCCTCTATTTGGCATCACTGTTGTCTGGTTGCACTTTGTCTTTATCCAAGCACTGTACTTCAGATGCATGCACATTTCTTCCAAAGTTTTATCTGCTTGGCTTCATGCCAGGTTGAAGCTTTCTCTCGTTAAGTTACAAAGTGTTGAAGTGAAATTTGTTCATCACCTTATGGAAACTTATAGTCCTGCAGTCATGGGAACAACTGGAAATTATTTAGTGCCGGATCGGAACAACAGGATATGTGGTATAATACTTCAGTACCCATATTCAGTATATTTTGTCACACAGTTTGAAGAGTGTGCTTTCTGACTTGGAGAAGCCATGATTCATTGTACAGTGGAAGTCTTTTTTTTTTCTTCCCCCAGAAATAATTCAGTGGAATTTTGAATGAATCAGTTTAGCATATATTTTTCAAGTTTAATGATCCTTGTTCATTGTTTTGTACTGCACAAGCAGGCTAATTTGCAATGGTTGAAGTTCCTGGGAGCACTGATAACACATCATGCACCTCAGATTGCTGTCTCTCCTCAAACTGTGGTTGTGTGATTTGAAAATTGATCTTATTAAGTTTTGATGGTTTACTTGAAAATAGCAGCAACATTTAAACTTCTAATGCAGTAACTTCTTCCAGCATCATTCCTCTTGTGTGTAGGTTGACGGACAAAAGGTATCCAATCTCTTCTTTCTTCCCTCAATCCATTGTTTTAAACTGTTGTCAGCTGTTTCCACTCTTGGTAATACAGTGGAACCTTGCTTAACGAGCACCTCTCATAACGAGTAATTCACATAACGAGCAAAACAATTTGTAAAAAAATGACTTGCTGAACGAGTGACATTTTGCATATCGAGCGACGAGAGGGGAAGTCCTGGATTGTGTGCTTGCTACATCAGTCTGTATGTAGCACTTGTTCCGCTAGCATCTTAGTGTCGCTTGTGATCACACATTTTTCCAAACTTGTGTTCAGATATATTATTTGTGATTTCTTTTTGTGCAAAGATTAATAACCCTTGCAAAAATGTCCCCGAAGAAAAAGCCGCAAAAAGACAGCCATAAGAGAATAAAAATAACTGTAGAAATGAAACGTAAAATCATTGAAAAGTGAGAACGAGGTGTGAGCGTGGCTGATGTAGCACGCATGTACAATCGGTTTACATCAACGATTTGCACTATCCTCAAGAACAAGGACAAGATTAAGGAGATAGATGCTTCAAAGGGAGTGACAAGAATATCTACACAACAGTTACCTATTCTCAATGATGTTGAAACATTGCTCCTCATATGGATAAATGAAAAGTGATTGCAAGGTGACACTATTAACGCGAACATCATTTGTGAGAAGGCGGAAGTGATTTTCACTTACCTCGTTAAGAAGACGCCAGGATCATCAACGGCCGAAGAAGAAGCATTTAAGGGAAGCCGTGGGTTGTTCGATAAGTTTAAGAGAAGAACTGGGATCCACAGCGTTGTAAGGCACGGTGAAGCAGCAAGTTCCGACACAAAGGCAGCAAAGAACTTCATCGGCGACTTCAAGAAGCTCGTAGATTCTGATGGTTACCTGCCGCAACAGGTTTTTAATTGTGACAAGACGGGTCTCTTCTGGAAAAAGATGCTGAAGCGAACCTATATAACAGCAGAGGATAATGCATTGCTTGGCCATAAGCCAATGAGAGACTGTCTCACGCTGCTATTTTGTGCCAATGCAAGTGGCAGTTTGAAAATTAAACCGCTGCTTGTTTACCATTCAGAAACTCCACAAGCCTTCAAGAAGTGTAAAGTCCAGAAGAGCAGGCTAAATGTGATGTGGAGGTCCAACAACAAGGCTTGGGTGACATGTGACCTTTTTACTGATTGGATCAATGAAGTGTTTGGTCCTTCTCTGAAAAAATATTTGCTTGAGATGAATGTGCCACTCCATGTCTTGTTTGTTATGGACAATGCTCCTGCCCATCCTCCAGACGTACAATATGACCTCCTTGAAGAATTTAAATTCATCAAGATCCAGTTTGTGCCTCCCAACACCACTCCATTACTCCAGCCTATGGACCAACAGGTTATTTCTAACTTTAAGAAGCTGTACACTAAAACACTCTTCAAGAGTTGTTTTGAGGTGACTGAAGGGACCAATCTCACTCTCAGAGAGTTTTGGAAATATCACTTCCACATCATTGCCTGCCTCAAGATGATCAAAAGGGCATGGGAAGGGGTTACCAAGAGAACCCTCACTTCAGTTTGGAGGACGCTTTGGCCGGAGAGCGTTGTTGAATGTGACTTTGAGGGGTTTGAGATAGTACCTGTGGAGCCTGTATTCAACGAGATTGTGTCTTTGGCCAAGATCATGGGGCTGGAGGTGGATAACAATGATATCGATGAGCTCGTGGAAGAGCACAGCCAAGAGATGACCACCGAAGAGCTTATGGAGTTGCATTGTGTTTCATAGCAAGAAGTTATGGAGGAGAGTTTGTCAGAGGAGGAGGAGGAGGTAACAGCAAAGCAACAATCTTCTGGCACAATAAGAGAAATGCTGAAAGCATGGGAAACTGTTGCATCGTACATTGAGAAGCTATGCACACTACAAATTTATTTAATGATAATGCTGTGTCGCATTTTCACCAAATTTTGAAGTTTCGGCAAAAACAAATGTCTCTAGACAGCTTTCTAGTAAAAAAGAATTAGATATGTATCATAAATAATAAGCTAATTATTTCGGGGTTTCCCCCCCCCGCAAATCAAATTCGCATTCCAGGTTGGTTCATTCTGCCGAATTCGCATTCCAGGTTGGTTCATTCTGCATAGAAGAAAAGATGAAGATGACTCACGCTCCTTAACAATGTATATATAATTTTCTTTGAATAAACGTTGTGCATACATTTTTTTGAGTATTTTTTTCGGCATGGAATGCATTATCTTATTGTACATTAATTTATATGGGAAAAATTGTTTCGCATTACGAGTAAGATTCTGGAATGAATTATGCTCGTTAAGCGAGGTTCCACTGTATTTTGCAGTATGTGACTGAACTATTTTATTCTGCATTGTCCCATCAGTCTCTTTCATCCACATTTTACTTTAATGCACTTCTCAGTATTCTTCTTCTATCCTTTCTATGTAAACAAGTTACTCTATTGTTTTTCTTCTAACTCTGTTAAACTTTGTACTTGACTCCTCTAAGAATTTTATTTCTAATTCCATTCTTTCTTGTTTAACCTTCAGTTCTTTTAAACAATATCAATTCCGTTTCTTGGATTTGATTTTGTTCCTTCATGGTCTAGTGGTTAGTGTTCCTGGTTACAGATCCAGAGGTCCCGGGTTCGATTCCCGGCGCTATCAGATTTTCTGAGAAGTAGTGGGTCTGGAACGGGGTCCACTCAGCCTCGTGAGGATAAATGAGGAGCTATTTCAAGGAAATAGCGGATCTGTTCTAAAAAACTGAGATTAACGGCCATGGGGATCTGTTGCGCTGACCACGTCACACCCTCTGTCTGCAAAAAATTTAGCACTAACTTCGCTGACAAGCAGCGGTCGCTTGGTCAGTATAGTTCACGTGTGGACTACAGGCCACAAAGTTTGTTTTGTTTTTTGTATGGATTTGTGTTTTGCTGATTCCTGTTAGTATCACTATGAAAACAGTGTTGCTCATTATGCAAGTCTTCCATTACTGAAATAGTATGAATAGGCAAGGAAATCATTTGTATTGAATACCCAAAGCATGTGCAGAGTTAATGGAATAAGTGCAGTGTCCTTCAGTCATCTCAGAATGTATAGTGATCTAAGGATTTTTATGATAATGGAATTTTTTCAGGTCATTTAAGAAGGCATTCAATGATGTGATTTTGTCTCGTCGTGCAATTCGAAACATGAACACACTGTATCCTGATGCTACTCCAGAAGAATTAGCTGCAGCAGATAACGTTTGTATAATCTGCAGAGAAGAAATGGTTACAGGCAAGTAGAAAACTTGCATTGTTGTGTATCACTAACACCAGTTTCATTATCGTGATTGAGTGTTTTCAAAACATTTTTGATTGCAAAAGCCTTTCAGTTTTAAAAGGTACTAATGAACCCTTATCTATACTGCCATTTGCATGAACGTATAGATTGTGGGACTGTAAAAGGACAACACAGAACTGGATAATTTTGTACACTACAGACACAATGGAACAAAGGAAATTGTTTTCTAATTTTGCCCAAGATTAATTAGGGTCATTTATAAAGAGTAAAATCAGTTTTGTGTCTGAGCACTATGCCATACAGACATGCAGGGGAGTGAAGGGAATACTTCTTGTGTAACTGTAATATGTTAGAGAGATGTAAGTGTTTGTGGAGAGGAAGCGCCGAATACAGTACAGGGTACCATATTTTATCTTCTTCAGTATCATAATCAGTGTTACAGAAGTTAATCCATTTCATCTTCCTGTTTTGCTTTTTGATGAGCTGCACACGTGGTAGCGTAGTTGGTTGAGGCACTATGCTACAAGCCGGAAGGTCGTGGGTTCATGTCCCGATGAGGTCATTGGATTCTTTTCAATTGACCTAATCCTTCCAGCAGCACTATGGCCCTGGGGTCGACTCAGCCTCTAACAGAAATGAGTACCAGGAATTAATTAAATAATTTTTTCCTGGGGAGTATAGGGCGGCCGGTGCATAAGGCTGGCAACCTTACCACCATCTTTGAGCCGATTGTCTAGATAATGTGGGACCCTCAACGTCTCACAGCCCTATGGGCCTTCATGGCCTGTTACAAGGAAAGCTTTACTAGTTTTTACTTACTGACTTTATGCAAGTTATTATTTCAAGCTTCAAATTGAAGTCTAGGCTTTTCCATTTTATTGCCATAATTGAGGTTTATCAACATCTTGCAGTGGCTGCCAACTGAAACACTCTGTATTGATAGAGGAGAAAACCTTAAACACAAGGTTGGAAGTCAGTGGGAGCCCAGGTGAAGGGAAAAGTTTGTGTAACAATGAGAGGAAGATATTTCGTGGTACATCCATAAACAAATCAAGTGACATAATACACATTGTAAGAAGCTACTGAAATGTTGAGGAAACATCAGAGAATCGCATGATGTACATTTTTATATAGGTAAAACTTGGAGAAGGTATGCTGCTCTCAGATTTTGGAATGAGAACTTTCTCCTAGGCAAGGGGGGGTTAATGGGATCTTTACAGACTGCTAGCCATAGAATAAGCTTAGAAATCTGTGGTCATATGTTTCTGGAGTAATTTCTGTGATAGACCTGCTGCTTTTATTGCAATTGGAAGGAAAACTGTAAGTAGTTTGTGCAAAAAGTTACAGGAAGACGTGGCGGCTATTTATCAGTCACTCATTTAGATGAAAGTGCAGGGAAAAAGCCCTTGTTTTATGCAGTGATTTTCCTTATGTAAAGTTAAGGAGTTGATGGTTCCAGTTGGATTTGTTGTAATGAAGTTCTCATTGTAAGCCATCACTATGTTGTGGTTTCACTGTATATTCCAAACAGTTTTTGCTGCAGTGAATATTTAGTGATTATGCTTGGAGATGCTTCTAGAAATGCATGTATATTCTCATGTAAAGTGACTGTTAAAGTTGTCTGATGTAAGTGAAAATTGAAATGGCTTGACAGTTTTTCATATAGTTCTCCAGTATCAGATTTAGTGAAGCTGCTGTGCCCATTCTTGAGTTTCTTCATACATATAAAAAAAGCTATCTCTGCACCAGGCTGTGGAGGCCCAGAGGGTTGTGAGATGTCAAGGCTCCCACATTTTCTGGACAGTTGGCTCACAAATGGCGGTCAGGTTGTCAGCCTTATGCACTGGTCGGTCTTTACTCCCCAGGAAAATTCCTGATACTCATTTTTTAGAGGCTGAGTCAACCCCAGAGCCATAGTAGGATTAGGTTAATTAAAAAATTATCCTTATCAGGAACTGAACCCATGACCTCCTGGTTTGTAGCATAGTGTCTCAACCAGTTATGCTATTGCATGCCCTATTTTGTACAAATAGACATTTTAATGTGCATTCTACAAGGATGAGCTTGCGCCTGAGAGCACTGTGCCTAGTAGTGTCTGTTAAAAGTAATTCCAGTTTACGTGGTTTAGTCTGTATAGGGCAGGTTCACTTATGACAGTTGCGAATGTAATATCAAATATAAGGCAGGAGAATATACATTTGAAACCGTGTTTTTTTTTATTGATTATAGCATCAAAGAAACTCCCTTGTAACCACATCTTTCATACATCGTGTCTTCGGTCATGGTTCCAACGTCAGCAAACCTGCCCCACATGTAGGTTGAACATTTTGAGAACCCCTGCACCAAATATGCAGAATCCTGCAACTCCTCAAGTGGGACAGCCTCAAGCCCAACAGCCCCAGGGTGCTCCTGCAGCAGGACTACCCCAGCCTCCTGGTGAGTGAAGTAACAGGCTAAAGGAGAAGAAATTACACTGCCTAACACTTGACCTAGTACAAGTTGGTGATTTACATGTATTTTTATGTATAGGTAGCAGAACTATCACACACCATTTTATTTTGAAAAGTATGTATTTTCTTTCAAAACATGAAAGTGGCTGATACCTCACAGAAAATTGGCTTGGATAGTTACAGATGTGTAGGTCTAGGTCAGTGTAACACTCAACTGTCACTCAGCCAATAGTCAGAGATCATCATGTCATTGAGTAGTCAAAGTCCACCATATTCAGTCCAGCTGCCTTTCATATCTCTAGTTGAATATTTAATTTTTTGTCCTTTTCTTGAAAATGGTGGGTGGTACAAAATATTAAGCTCAGATCGAAACTTGTCACATTCAGATCTACTATAATCATCAATTTTATTTTTTAAAGGACAGACATATTTGTTTGTTTTGTTGTACAATGTAATTATTGGTTGAATAGTTACAGTAATTAATGTTAAGTGCATAATTTGTAAATGTGGGACTTGTTTGATCTCTAGCTCAGATATTCAGTGTTAATAAATGAGGGGTTATCAGAAAGTTCCCGGACTAGGTCAGAAAAGAAATGCTGGCTTAACTTACTCAATTTTGGCTGCAATCTCCTTCAGAATAGTCTTTTGGGAACATATACAGCAATCCCATTGTTTTTTTCACCCTTCGAAAGCATCGTGGAAGTCATTTTCCTTAATGCTGTAGAGTACTGCTTGCAATTCCCTTTGGATGTCAGGCACTGTTTAAAAATGTTGTCCCTTCAGTTTAATTTAAATGTGGGAAATAGCGAAATCACAGGGGGCCAAGTCCGGTGAGTAGGGAGGATGGAGAATGATAACCATGTTGTTAAGTCATGAGCTCTGGGCTTCTCAGGGACATGGGCGGGCGAGTTGTCATGACGAAGGATCCAGTTGTGGTTGAGCCAAAGTTCCCGTCTTTTTCATCACACATTTTCTTTTGAGCATCTCAAAATCTTGTAATAAAAGTCAGAGTTGATTGCAGTGTTGGGAGGAACAAATTCATGGTGAAGAATGCCCTTCATGTCAAAAACAATGAGCACGCTCCTTGTTGAATTCCAGACCTGCCACGCATTTTTACTCTTGGTGATTGTGGGCTCTTCCACTGTGACGATTTTTTCTGGATCCTTAAATCAAACTTTCATCACCTGTTATGATCTTAGAGATAAAAGTTGGGTCCTTGTTAGCCTTCTCTCATAGCTCAAGACACATTTACGTACCGTTGCTTTTCATTTGTCAAGAGTCTGGGAACAAACATCACAGCAATGCAGCGCATGTTCAAATTTTATTTTAAAATCTCCTGGGGAACTCCATAACTGATCACAGCAGTGTCTGTGAGCTCATGGATTGTTCAGTGCCGGTCTTTGTGGGTGAGTTCTCAAATTTTTCCAAATTTTCTGTTGTTTTGTTGGTCGCCCTGAACGTTCATCATCTTCAGCTGACACTCACCTGGCCTTGAAATGTGAATGCCATTCAGAAACCACTGTGTGGCTTAAGGAATGTTCTCCAAAAGCCTCACAAAGCATTTCAGGGGTTTCGGTAGTGGATTCACCAAGTTTCGTGCAAAACTTTATGCAAACATGTTGCTCTGTTTTGCTATTCATGGCAGACAAAACAAAACACAAAGTCAAAAAAGCAAACAGTGCCTCTTTACAGTGCGGTGTGATGTGGCACACTGATGCAATAGGTTTGTGATAGTATGACCATGGCCTCTCCTCTAATCTTCTTTCAACAAGGCAGTTATAAAAATAACAGTCTGGGAACTTTCAAATAGTACATCTTACCTGATACCATAAAACTACAGAGTAATACATGTAGTCACTTGCAGAAGTAAAATACTGTGACAGTATGAACATATCTGATATTTAAAATTCATATAAATATAATGTACCAGAGCATTTTTCATCCAGTTAATGAATGAAAGATAGTTTCAAGTTTTTGAGAGTACTCTGACTTTAAGTTATATTTTGGTTCAGGAGAATTCATCAGCTTCAGTTTCTGGTCAGTATTTTGGTTTCTTTCAAGTCTCTGTTTACAGTTTTTGAAAACAAACTTACCAGTTCTTATTGCAGAGAATATATTTATCATATCCTTATTCAACATATTATTAGCCTTAGAGCATTGCAGTATAACTCTGAACACAGTATAAAGTTCTAATGTTACTGTAAGTGAAATGTGAGGTTTATATTTAAGTCTGTTGTAAGTATACCATGTTAAGTGTATTCTGAATAATATTCTGAGGTGTTAATATGTAGTTGTTTCACAGCTGGCATCAATCCTTTCCAACCACTGCTTGGAGCTGGACCATTTCCATTTTGGCAGCCATTTCAACAGCCATTTCAGCAACCACCTGCTGGAGGGCCTGCAGGAAATAATCTGCAGCAGGCAGGAGAATCAACTCAACAGCCGAGTACCTCAGGTACACAAGGTATTGCAGAGAACTTCCCAAAACTGGGGTATTAGCAGTTTACCATTACAGTGCCAAGCTTGCTTGTACAGGTATAATGTTGAAAGGAACGACAGGAATTTTTAATGTTATTGCTTTTGTCTACAAGGCAGTTCTAATTGTGTGTCTTTATTGTTACAATAGAAGCTTTACAACATATTGCAACTTTGATATTTTTGTTATAATTTTACATTATCATGACTGCGAGAAAATAAGATCATGAAATTCTGTCTCACATGTTTTCAGCACTCCTAAATATGAATAAGTGGCTTTTGGAATTTCAACTGTACACATGTATTCTTGCGTGATATAGTTTGTGTGTGTATACGTGCACGTGTCTTAGTGTGCGCTAATGTTTGTTGCTAGTGTCTAATGGATGGATTTTATTCATATTCAGTGTTTAAGAGCTTTTCTGCCTTGGGTTGGTGCTTGGTGAACATGAGCTTCCTAGCTCCTAAAAAAGGGGTCTCCACTGGGGTCCCTAGATACAAAATTGTATTTTTCTCAAAAATGCCTGTTTCGTTTTTGATTAATTTGCAGTAATTTATGGAGGCGATCTCTCTAAATGAAACTGCATAAGCCGAATCTTCAGATAAATGAGAATAAGCTCTCTAAGTAACCCAGGCATGTATGTGAGAAAGTATGTGCAATGTTCTGGCACCAGTTTTTTAAAATGAGAATTTAATTTAAGATTGGTTTGAGTTAAAATGCAGTCTGAAGGTGATTTGTTTTTTATTCAGGTTCAATTGCAGGGACTTCATCTGCCTCAGGCACAGCTGGCAGTGGGACACCGATATCGCCAACCTCTCAGTCATCTGCCACCTTCACGTTCACCTCTGCTCCTACCAGCTGCCCTTTTACATCAACACCTCCCCAACCACCATCACAGCCTGGAGCCAATGTGCCACTTTTCTGCCCTCCACTTCCTTTCATGCCTTTCAGTAAGTATTTAAATAAGGGTTTACCACTCTTGTTATTAATGTATATTATTTCCTCTGTGTGTATTCTTTTCCCTTCTGCCTTATTACCGTATCCATTAGTTTACTTTCAGTTGATTGTAACCATGCATATTTTGTTTAGGAAACTGCGCATTTAGTTTCACTACATTACTTGCCGACTTGCACTGTTTGTATACTTCCGTTGCATTTTGCACATTAGTAGTTTCAAACAATGTGGGATCCTTGACATCTCACAATCCTAAGGGCCTCCACAATCCCTTACAGGGATAATTTTACCTTTTTTTTACCTTCAGTAGTTTCACACAGTGAAAGAACACTTCTGTGAATAGGGTGGAAGTTCAATTTTGCCATTGCATATTGCTATGTGAGAACACAGTTCATTCAATATATCTGTAATCTGGTTTTCTTTTTACATCACCACAACCTGCTGCTGTGTTTATTAGGCCACTTGGCTCATGATTCAAGTATGTAGAAAATATTGTGCAATCCAGCAAGCAGAAAATAGTATTCACCAGGATAGTGTATTACTTTCATACAGGTAAAACTGGTAAACTGGTATGTACAATTTTTTTCTGACTCTAATGCTTTAAAATGCTGTTGTTTGATCTCTTAAACTTTTGTTGTTAGTACTTATCTTAATCTTCTGTAAGATTTTTCTATCAAGGAGTCACACGTTGCTTACTGGGTTTTGTTCGAACATTATTAGATATATAATGTAAGTTTTGAGGTTTTCACGGCGATGACTATGAAGATGACTATGACCCAGAAGACGACATTCTTCATTATTAGATATAAATTATAATTTAAAAGAAACTCTGTGGCTTTAGTCCTCAGGCGAACTATATTTACAGAGACCGTCGCTTGTTGGCAAAGTTAGTGCCAACTAACCGCCTCTGTGGTCTAATGGTCAGATTTTGTGGCTACAGATCCAGAGGTCGAGGGTTCGATTCCTGGCGCTACCAGATTTTCTGAGTAGTGGGTCTGGAATTGGGTCCACTCAGCCTTGTGAGAATAATTGAGGAGTTACTTGATTGGAAAGTAGCAGCTCCGGTCTAGAAAACTGAAATTAACGGCCATGGGGATTCGTTGCACTGACCACAGGACACCCTCTGTCCACTAAAGTTGGCATAAATTATCATTACATTTTGTAATTACAAATTATTTCTTTTGCAGATCATGGATGGAATTGATTTATGATTGATCTGAAAGATAGGATGGGACAGATCCCCAGTTAAATACTTGGAGTGGTATTTTACTTATTATTATATTGCCAACAGTACCCCCACCAATGCCACCGGCTGATTTCTCTGGGTTTTCAATGGAAGAGCTGCAGTGGATGGAAGGAGTGACAAGAGAGAGTGTGGAGGCAAGACTAAAATGCCTTCATAACATCCAGGTCCTCCTGGATGCATCAGTTACACTCATGCTGCAATACTCATCTGCAGCAGCATCAAGGTAGATTCAAACATTGACAGCAAGTGGAGATTTCAGTAAAGTCAGTTTTAATCAAATCTTGTTGCAAGCTTTGTTTTATGCTGTATAGTAAATTCCCTTGTTGGCATATTTCTGACTAGTGAAGGTTTTCATTTGCAAATGTGTAGATTTGTTGGAATAGATACAGCTTCACTATGCTATGCATGTGTAGCTATCCCCCCCAGTTTCTGTTACAGTAGTAAATTTTGTATGTTTTTTACCAGCAGTCACACCATAACCTTTCATCAGTAAATAATATGATTCTGTTTCATTATAGTATGGCTACAGCATCAGTTGCAACAGCAGGTTCAGAGAACACAACTGCATCATTTGCACCTGCGTCATCTTCAACATATCGAGCATCTGCTTCTAGCAGCAGGTAACTCAGTAATTAAATTCCATTATAAGCAAGTGATGCCATACAGAGTGTAGTGTGTTTACTGTCACATGATCATGATGTTACTATGGATTCAGGTTGGAAATTGATTTATTGGGTACTGATTCGTCTTAGTTAAAACTATTTACGTGCATTCACAGTCATTTGCAATTAGCCCCTTTGCCCTTCTACTTTTGTTCCTTGGCTCTCTGTTGTCACAGGTTGAGCCCCTTGTTGCACTGAGGTAAGTTGGTAACTAGGAGCATGTTTAATGAGAGCAATGACTCATCCGGTACTGTATGGTAAATCACTGCTGGCCTCTCACAAGGACAGGCATTCTTGGGGGCTCATGACCATATTTTACTGGCTCATGTCATGACTCTCCTGACTTCACTTCCAAGGCAACACTTTGCTAAGTAGTACCTTGACTGTTGTGGACGTGTTTGTTTCTAGGGCTGTGTAAGTGTTCTGACATCGCCTAGTGATGGGGCATATCTCTGATATTTCTGCAATTCCAGCATTCTGAAATTTATTGATTTTGGGCATCTTGTTATTATACCTTCCTTGTCCAAACAAGCCATATTTTATGTTGTGTAGCACTGCATTTACCTAACTGAAGATTAGGTTCTTTACTTCTATTTTAGTAGAAAAAATATAGAGAGCTGTAAGATATCACAAATTGCATAAAATAGAAGTGATCCAATGATTTCTGGGAAGATGGATGTTTGTTCCTTGTGTCATTTATTAAAACTTATGTATCCTTTGACTACTGTATCATTGTGGAAATATTTACAAAGCAGTAATTATTAGATTTTTGTTACCATTATTGTCGTACACAATTTATCCAGCTTTATGTTTTTGAACTCATGGCTTTTCCGTTTGAGTAACATTTCACAGAGATCTAACATTCTGCAGACATGAATCTGTGTGTCTAGTGTCATTTCTAACTCACAACCACAGGAAATAATGCATCAAGCAGAATTATTCTCATAATGGTACCACACAGATGAGCAAGTTTTGAGGTTCACCACATTTGCCAGATATAACCTAATGTATGGTGGTAGTTAACTTCATTTTGGTATGCTTTTTTCGCGAAAAAATCTTAACAGTGGAAAGGTAATGCTTAGATGTCTGACTGCATGGTAGGGTTAGATTAAATTGAGATTGGATGTATACATTAAAAATTATAAAGACAACTTAAGTTTGGTATGTATCTGACCAGTGCAACACTTACACTATGTTAGACTCTATTTGAACTTTCCATTAAATTAGACTCCTTATACGGGTAAAATGTACAACTTTTATCTGGAACGTTTTACAGAATATGATGAAATGCAGGGAAAAATAATTATGAATGCTTTGTGATTTGCAACAATACCTTTGTAAGATCGTCACCAGCGAGACCCTTTATATGGATCGCATCATTAGGGAGGCCATTGAGATTGAACTCCATCTTGACAATATGAACAGAGAGGTGGGGTTTTGTCTCAGCAAGTCATGGAAGCCTCTCATCTGTTCCCTCAAGAAACCTCTGGGACATGACGCCAGATCCACAAGGCCACACAAGTCCATGCCCGACTTGCATAGCAACCCCGAAGCTTAAGGGTTAATGCCCTCCAATTAACCTTGCCTTTCTCCCCTGACACAATATTCTGTACCTGCTGGGCCACCTCCCTAGACCCTTCCCCTCTCCTCTCTTCTGGTTTCCCATGTAACCCCTCTCCCTTCTCTTCCTCCTTTTTTTATAGCTGGGATTATTCTCTACATTAGTCTATTTGCACCTGCTCACGCTGGATCTTCGCTTGCGGATTTTCTTCTATCCTGAAGATGGAGTCAATATGTTCCTCCAAAACATTGATTAACAATATCTACACACTGCCATATCCCAGAAGGCTGCTTTCTTCAGTACTTTTGTATTTGCGTTCAAATAAATGAACAGTAATGCTATTGATGTTTGAAAAATTACAGACATTACATTTGTGTACTTGCAGTTGTTGTACACTTTTCCTCTCTTGTTTTATTTTTAATCAAGTTGTTTGTCCCATGTCAAACTCAGAATGACTCAGTATTTCATAGTTTTCATGCCCTTAGTCTTTGCTGTACTTAGAGCGTATACTGTATTACTTCGGGGTACGCAGTAGCATAGTCGGTGGAGGCACTGTGCTACAAGCCAGAAGGTCGTGGGTTCAAGTCCCGATGAGGTCATTGGATTTTTTTTTGAATTGACCTAATACTTCCAGCCACACTATGGCCCTGTTGTCGACTCAGCCTCCAACAGAAATGAGTACCAGGAATTAATGAAATAATTTCCTGAGGCGTGAAGCGTGGCCGGTGTGTAAGTCTGACAACCTTACCGCCATCATTGAGCTGATTGTCTAGATAATGTGGGACCCTCAACATCTCGCAACCCTATGGGCCTTCACAGCCTCTTACAGGGATAGCTTTACTTTTTTTTTTTACTTACTGTACTTTGATATAAGACACCCTCAAATTTAAGATGTATCTAATTTTTAAATGAGGACCTTAGAAAAAAGTAGAAAGGTGTATTTATTTCAGTGAGTTTATTTAGCACACCAATGAAAATAATATTGAGAGCAAATTTAAAGTGAAAAGTAATGGAAAATATACCAGAATGAAATGGAAATTTAAAATTTTCAGTACATACACATTCCTTTATATCTGTTTTATTTAATCTGAAAGTTCGTCTAGTGATGCCTCTGTTGCACTTTCATTTCCTGAAGATTATGCACCCTTGCACCTTTGTTCACTGTTGTACCAAAGAATGTCATCTTGTGTTCCATCTTCTGTATTAGACAAACAGCACTTTAAAAACGATTTTGGAATAATACTGACTGGCACTTCTTTCCAAGCTTTTGGTTTCCATTCCACTATTGTTGATACTAATACTCTTTATTTTGCCACTAGATGACAGTGTATGATTGTCTTTGTTCATCATCATCATCATCATCAGTAATCTGTCAGACGACAGGTCCACAGTCTCTTCCAAAACAATTCCTCCACTTAATGCGATCTAGAGCTTTCTCCTTCAAATGACAGTATCCTCTTCTGTCCCCAAGGTCATCCAGCATCTTCTTACGTCTTCTTCCTCGTCTTCTTGTCACTTCTATCTGCCCATCTATCTTTCCTTCGATAACTTCTTTTAGAAGGCAGTTTCTGCGTAAAACATGACCAATCCAATTAGCCTTCCGTTTTCTTATTTCGTGTAGGATATTCCTCTGCTCACTGACTCTAATTAACACTTCTTCATTTCTCACATAATTGGGCCAACTGATCTTCTCCATCCTTCTCCAACACCACATTTTGAAACTTTCCAGATGTTTCTGATCTACTGCCCTAAGTGTCCATGTTTCAGCCCCATACAGAGCTATGCTCCAAATGTAGCATTTCACTAGTTTCTTCCTCAAATTTAAGTTCAATTTGCTGGTAAAAAGATTCTTCTTCTTGCTAAATGCAGCTTTTGCAATCCTGGATTTAATTTCACTAGTACACCTTCCATCATCTGTTAACAAGCTACCCAAATATTTGTTCAACCAGGCATCATTTATGGACAAGATGTTTGAATGGTTTGTTCACTGACACATCATGTGGTTGTAATTGAATTGTCATTCCAGTAGGAATTGTCGCTAGATTGATATTTTTATTCCTTAACCTATTTCTGATTCTGTTGGAGAGATGGCCATGAAATGCACCAGGCCACCGTTCACGTACACATCCAACACAGTCTTCCATTTACTCCGATGTCGTCCATGCATTTTTTTTTGGGGGGCCGGAATTATTACATCTTTGCAAAAATTTTCTTCTGGCACTTTCTTTTTGTTTAATATTACGATATGTATGGTTGTAATCTATTGCCATCTGTGGTTGTACATAGCATGAGCATGACAGTAGCCTGTGGTTTATATTTCCACTTGTTTTTTCTCTTTGAAATGTAATTACAAAGCATATCAGAAAATTTGCAATTTTGTCAGCATTTGTGATTTGACTTAAAGAATACCTGTTGCTTTGGCATAGTCCAGTAACAAAACACTGAAATTCTGTCAGTCTAGTTTCAAATTCCGAAGGAAGTTTTCGACTAATTTTCATCCTTGGTACTATTGATAAGCTTTCTGACTCAATGAACTTACCACACCATTCATGATTCACCTTGAAAGTATATTACTGTTTCTAGCACATTCTTTTGCTTTTGATGTTAAGGCTTTGCTAGTTATTTCATAAATCTTTGAAATGCTCTTAAAACATAGTCATCAGTCTCAGGATTTTTCCCTTTCCTTGGTCCGAAGAAAAGACTATTTGTCAGATTTGAAAACAGTTTTGTTTTTATACTTTGCCAATGATGTATGCATGCTTCACTTATTATATCCTTTCTACCAGCTGCACAGTTACCTATCTCTTCAGCACACAGAATAACTTTTATATTGAATGCGGCTTCGTATTTAAAACGCTTTTCCATGTGTAAAAACTGATAGAAAACTGAACACACCTAATGATAAGAATGTCAGACAATGACTGAACTGAAAGTTGGGGGTTTTTGGCTTGATGACTCATTCCAAATATGTTTACATTAGGTTCTTTCCAGGCTATCCCATGGACAGTTTGCAAACTGGTGAATAATTGCTTGAAGTTAAAATACACCTCAGTTTTTTGTCAGGAAAAAATGTGAAAAATGTGCACTTAAATTCAAAGTAATATGGTATTGTGGACAAATGCTAGATGTGTTTTTAGTAGACTATTTGGATGCTGCCTGAAGTGTTTGATGCTAGGGTATTTTGGTCTGTTCAGTAGGAATGAAAGCAGTGAAGGTGCTTTTGGTTTTACACCTGAACCTTCCTCACCAGCCAGCGAAGAGGCTGTATCATCTACACTTACCAAAGAACAGGAAGAAATCAGACGAAGGAGAATTCAAAAGTTTGGCCAGACACACAGTTCAGATTGAGAATGCAGGCGATGTCTTTCAGTCAGTAAGAATTCATATGTATATAAAATTATTTCATGTCTGTGGTATTTTTTTAATGGGTTCGAAAATTATTTATATTAATTTCATATCAGTTTGCTCACACCCTTCTGAGAATTCTTGTTGCCTATTACTTTGTGGTGGAAATTTTACAAAATGTTCAAAGAAACTGATCATTTTATACCTACATACAAGTGCAGAATAATATGTGGGAAATGACATCCACTGCTATTTTCATATACTAAGTGTTTACAAAGTTGGAATATAACCGAGTTATTCTCAAATTAAATATTCCATGTTTTATTACTCAGTGTATGATACTGTAATATATATATATACTTTTCTTGTTTACTTTTTAATATATTGATTTCTCTGAGAAATGTACTGAATAGCCAGAGAAAGGAATGTTGTAATTGCTTCAGGAAAATCTGAGTTAGAAATATTTTTGTTTGCACAGAACTTTGTTTATATCAAGAAAGATTGCTAAATTAGTAAGTCTACAGAGAAAACATGATACATATATGGTTTAGGAAGGACAGTTTCGTAGCTGTAGGTTGTAAGAACAGTACATGAAAATACATGTAAGAAAAAAGGCAGAAAGATATGATGGTTTTAATATTAAAAACTAATAAATTATGTTATTTTGATCCTTAGTGTGTCATTGACTCTTTATTTTGTGTTGTTTTCCCCATGTTTGAAAAGTGTGTACGTGGTATCACAGGAGGGGGGAGTGGTGGGGCCATATCAGCTGTCCTGCATGCACCTCTCATTCAGTTGAAGTATCGAGATTAACACCCTTCAAGAATTTTCTTGTGAATTCTCAGTGATGTTGCCTTCAGAATTAGCTAAGTGGTTTCTCAAAACAGACCAGAAGGGAGGCAGAATTCTTGATATTTTGGTTGAATGAATGATATCCACAGGCTGGGTAGTTCAATTCTGTCACTCCTTCAGGGGTAAGGAGTGATGAGGTTGCATCGCCTGGCTTTCATGTGCCTCCCATTTGGTTGAAATGTCAAAACTTAACGGATTTAAGTCCCCCACTACTTTGGTGCCAGTAGCTGAATTTGAAATTTAAGGTAATGTTATTTGATTTAAGTGAAGCAGTGCTAGGCCTTCAGAACTGCTTGCATCCATGTCATTGTAGTGAGATGTACCAAACGTTATACAGTTAAAATATTTGTTCATTCGTATGCAGTCTTTGGGAATATTAGCTTGAACTCTTGGAGGCTGACAGACATATTAATGTCCTTCTAGATGTAATTCAGGAAACCTTGGCAGTATGAATATCACTGTGAAGGTTAATACAGGATATTACTTATCAAAATTTTGGACGTTTTTGAAACTTGGCAACTGAAAAATACACATGGAAAAACAAAAATAATGAAGGGTACTATCTTGTATGTAGTGCCAAGTAGGTGGAAATCAGTGCTTGGCTTGCCACCTGTTTCCTGCTGGCAACTTGCTTGGCTTACTTTTCAGTCCTGATGATTCATGTGGTATACTTCTCCAAAATATCACTGAAATTGTAGCAGACAACATGATGACATAATGATGTGCCAGTACTGTTAATAGTCACTGCTGTTTGAAAATCACATCCCAGAGTAAAATAACAATAAAACTATGCCCCTGTGGTTAATGTCAAACATATCCAGTTCCTGAAGTGTTGAGGATAGAATAATTTCCAGTCCACAACTGTCCTGCTCCATATATATGTTATCATGATCTAGAGTGACTATGAATGGGGTTTGGATTAGTGACTAGATGTATTGACCACTTAGAGGTTTTAACTACAAATAACTATAACATTATTGCTGATTTCCACACTCAAATCACTCTACGCTCAGTCTGCTATCGTTTGTCATTAGTTGGTAACAGCTCTCAACAATGGTTGTTCCTATGCAGTGTTTTCACAAGATGTTTCTTGGTAACGAATCTTAACAGTGGAGATTCTCAAGGCTTTGCGGTCATTCTATTGTCCACTGTTTAAAACTGCACAACTGAACTCTTGACTAACTGCTCACTTTGAACTTCAGAACCTGACTGCAAATTCTCAATTGAAATATTTTTATAACCACTTTGCATGGACCGAATACCACTCTGTTGCTTAGAAACGGGTTGCATAACCTCATTCTGTTCTGTTCCTGTATGTTATGGGTGGTACCTAGCAACAGATGCTGTTTACAGAGTCAGTGCTTAGCAGTGGGTCTGTATACCACATTATATTTATGTAATACAGAGCTGTTTCGATGTGATCTCTTTCATGGACATGTCCCATCATTCGCAGTACTAGGATCGGTTACTGACAATCCATAATTTAATGTGAAGCCAACAAAATTATATGGACGTATGCATTTTGATTGTCTCACAGCTACCTGTAAATCATTTGGCCAGTCAGGTTGGAGAGAGAGGTGATCCTTGTGTCAACTTGACCTGTACAGATTTGTGCTAGTATCATATGCAGCAAACCAGGAGCCTGTACACATATTTTCTCTTCAGTCTCATACCAGTAAATCATTTAATAGCTACTGATGTGATCTGAAGTGGTAAGTTGGCTATTGTTGATTTCTGTGGATTTAGTTTCCGGATTTTTGTGGCAGTTTATGTTGATGTTCTTGAAACACCAGTTTCCTGTGTAAGGTGTCTTGATGGATTTTCAATGGAAATGTCCAATGTCAGTACTGATTTAATAACATTTTTCTCCAGTAGGCATTCATTCATTTATTTTTAAGAAGCCTGAATGTCACATGCATATTTTTCTATTTTGAAACATCATCATCATCATCAGTAATCTGTCAAGACGACAGGTCCACAGTCTCTTTCAAAACAATTCCTCCACTTCATGCGATCTAGAGCTTTCTCCTTCAAATGACAGTATCCTCTTCTGTCCCCAAGGTCATCCAGCATCTTCTTACGTCTTCTTCCTCGTCTTCTTGTCACTTCTATCCGCCCATCTATCTTTCCTTCGATAGCTTCTTTTAGAAGGCAGTTTCTGCGTAAAACATGACCAATCCAATTAGCCTTCCGTTTTCTTATTTCATGTAGGATATTCCTCTGCTCACTGACTCTAATTAACACTTCTTCATTTCTCACATAATCGGTCCAACTGATCTTCTCCATTCTTCTCCAACACCACATTTCGAAACTTTCCAGATGTTTCTGATCTACTGCCCTAAGTGTCCATGTTTCAGCCCCATACAGAGCTATGCTCCAAATGTAGCATTTCACTAGTTTCTTCCTCAAATTTAAGTCCAATTTGCTGGTAAAAAGATTCTTCTTCTTGCTAAATGCAGCTTTTGCCATGGCAATCCTGGATTTAATTTCACAAGTACACCTTCCATCATCTGTTAACAAGCTACCCAAATATTTAAAACATTTCACATTCTCCACTTGTTTTTGGTCTATCTTTATTGTGACTGGGGTTGGTTGTCTCGAAATTTTCATTACTTTTGTTTTCTCCACATTCATTTCCATGCCATAGCACCTTCCAATTTCAATTAGTCTATCAATCATGCCCTGTAGCACAGTTTCTTCCTTAGCCATTAACACAAGGTCATCTGCATATTTCACAGTTTGAATAATTTGCCCTCCTACTTTGAAGTCACCGAGCCCATCCAGAGCTTCCTTGGTAAGGCATTCGCTGTACAAGTTGAACAGAATTGGTGATAAACAGCATCCTTGTCGAACTCCTCTTCCAATCTGCACACTTCCTGTCTCCCCCCTGTCCAGTCGTACTCTAACTTTCTGATCCATGTACAATTTGCTAATCAATCTTCTTTCATGCCAATCGATACCTGTTTCTTTCAGGATCTGCATTAATTTGGTCCAGTTTACCCGGTCAAATGCCTTCTGCCAGTCTATGAAGCAAACACACAGTTCTTCATCTATCTCCAAAGTTCGTTCCGCTATAATTCTCATCATCCCAATTGCATCCCTGGTTCCTTTTCCTCTTCTAAATCCAAACTGATCTTCTCCAAGTACATCCTCTATTTTCCTTTCAATTCTTCTTTTAAGTATCTTTGCTATTATCTTTGCTGTATGTGCAATAAGACTTATTGTGCGATGGTCGCTGCATTTTGTAGCTTTTGTCTTTTTCTTTAAGGCAATCATTGTAACTTCTGTAAAGTCCTTGGGCCACTCTCCACTTTCATATATGGTGTTCATTAGTTTTGTCAGTGTTTTCAAACCACCTTCTCCCAGTAACTTGAGCACATCTCCAGGTACATCATCATCTCCTGTAGCCTTTCCCTTCCTCATTTCCTTGATAGCTTTTTCCACCTCACTTTGTAAAATATATGGTCCTTTCTCGTCTGTATCTACTTCTTCTTCCGGTTCAACTTCTAAGGTTTCTGGCCGATTAGGTCGATCATATAGTTCTGAAATATAATTTTCCCAAATTTTCAGCACTTGCCTCTGATCTACTATTCTATTCCCCTGGGAGTCTTCGATGCCAACATTTTGAATCCCATGATTCTCTTTCCATCCTAGTTCTTTTGTCTTCATGTACATCAAATCATAACGGCCTGTTCTTTGAAATTCCATAATCTCATTACATATCTTCTCAAGATATTCCTTTTTGGCCCTGTCCGTGGCTCTTTTCAATTCATTCCTCAGTCTCCTGTATTTCCTCCTGCCTTCTTCATTGTTGACATTCTTCCATTTCCTTCGCTCCTCCATTTTACTCATCATCTCCTGTGTAACCCATGGTTTTCTTGCTATCTTCTCAACTTTACCTACCAAATCACTGATAGTATCTAACATGCATTCTTTTATATCGTTCCACTGCGCTTCAGCATTTCCGCTTTCACCTTCAATTGCACCGAGTTTCTCTTCTAGAGTCTCTTGCACGCTTTGTCTTTGAGCATATAACTTCTCCAAATCCCATCTGGGTCTGCGCTTTCGAAATCCTATAATTTTCTTCAACCTGGTTCGGAACTTGGCAACCAGCAAGTTGTGGTCAGAGTCAATGTCTGCCCCAGGAAGCGTCTTCACATCCTTCACACTGTTTCTGAATCGATGTTTCACAAGGATGTAGTCCAGCTGATGCCTCTTCCAATCCCCAGGTGCCTTCCATGTGTAAATTCTTCTCTTTGGCTTCTTGAACCAAGTGTTGGTAACAATCAATCCATTTCGTTCACAAAAGTCAATAAGCATTTGACCTCTGTGATTCCGTCTTCCTAGTCCATGTGATCCAACAATATTCTGATATGGTTCATCTCCAACAATGCTGTTCCAGTCTCCCAATATGATGCTGTTTGTGTCTCCTCTTCCATCTTCCTGAAGAATTTCTTCAATTGTGTCATACACTTTTTCCACTTCATCATCTTCATACTCTGATGTTGGCATGTACACTTGTATAATCAGTATATCTACCGGTTCCGCCTTTAACTTCAGAGCAATAATTCTGTCATTACAAGCAATCTTCTTAACAACACTCCTCACTACACTTTTATGCACCACTATTGCCACACCTCTTTCAGCCCGTTCACCTCCGGAATAATACACTGTATAATCACCGCTTCTTATTTCACCTTGTCCTTTCCACCGCACTTCGCTGACACCTAGAACAGACACTTCATTCTTCTGCATTTCCGTTTTCAAATTCTCCAATTTTCCTGCTTGATTCAAGGTCCTGACATTCCATGTTCCAATCTTG